TGTTATGAGCTAAAGCTAAATTAGTTTGCATTTTGAAATCCCATAATATTTTAACTTTATTTTCATTTTTTACTACTTTTTCAACTATATGTTCCCACAAATTTTTCATTATTATCACTTGATAGTTTTTACAGATGTTTCAGTGAATTATTTTGCCCACTGTGTCATGTCATGTCATAGTTAGTTTGTGCAATCTTTTTGCACAAGACGATTATTATTATTATGGTTCATTGCACAGTCAGCCAGATGTTCAGGCTACATTTGGCATTTTTATCCATCTATTGAGTCCTTCCCAAACATCTGGGATAGGAAGATGTTGTTTGATATTGGTATCATCACAGAATGTAAAGTGTTGCAAAACTACCTTTTGCAATTCACTGATGGTGATTTTGTTGATGCCAGGGGTTATCAAGTATTAACCATAAGATCTTATTGAGTCTAGGATATCTAAAGAAATAAAAATATTCAAACTTATATGGAGCATGCACACCTCTGTATGAATAGGAAAAAAATGTTACAGAGAGGAAAAAAAGTAGTTGCACAGTGGGGAAAATTATTGGGTTGGTTTTAATGCTTCACTGTTTCCCATCCTTGAAAAATTTAGTGCTTTTGCTATTTTTTTTAAAAAAAACAGATATTAGAATTGAATTGGCATTCATGAGGCATAAGACTCAGACTAAGACAAATAATATTTTCTCTTTGTAGGGTTTATCTTGAGACAAGTATTGTGGGAAAGGCTCTTTAATTCTTGTCATGTTCCTTATAAAAAGAGGGTTCATTAATATCGCTGCTATTGCCTTAAGGCTGTTAAAGTGCAACAATTGCATAGATTGTTCAGAATGAATTATTTCTGATTTGGTGAAAAAATAAGACTTGAACTTCTTAAAATAAAAATGGTAGATTCTATGAACATTGCTACTTGTTATTCCCACTTCTATTTTCAACTGAATAATTTACTAAGATACATTTAGAAAAATCTTTCCTAATGTCTTTTAATTTGCACCATTCTAATATTATGGGATGCTAAACCAGCACACCCACATCTAAAACAAACGAATTTGTATTTTTTATAAATATCGAACATAAGTTGTACATACCCACATGTGGTTGGAAGAGTATCATGTTTCCTCTCATGTGCTATTCAGTTTGCATGGCCCTGCTGATGTTCAAAACCTGGAGGATCTGAGATTGAGAAAGATCTTACTAGACATTCCTTGCTAACATAAAAGGACGCTGTTCTGCAGTTAGCCAAGGGTTCATTATTTAAAATAGGAACAACAATTGTTTCCATCACCAGACCCTGAAATTAGCTCTCATAAGTAGCAACTATCCTATAAAAGTGACGATTGGGACTTCAGAAAGTTGGTGGGAAAGGAATTATTTTTCATTTCTTTTAAGCTTCCATCCAACAAGGTATTTTGAATTCGGTTGTAGTTAATAATTTGAGAACTGTACCATTGGAGGTTTGTGTGTGTATGTGTCTGCAACAATCAAAACTTTCAGAGTTGATTCATAAATGCAGCATTATGCGTATAATGATAACCATCTAAAGTAACACACAAAGATTGGATCAAACGGGCAATCCTTCTAACAAAACCTGAGGAACAAAAAAGGAAAAAAATCTTCCGCAATCTGGCATCTTCTGGATATTGGAAAATAACTTTACACTATTATCCACAATGCCTAGTAATCCTTAACAGAGCTTGCATTGGTTAACAAATTGCCAGTTGCATTTGTATTTGATTACTCTCCTGGTAATTTCACAAACGCTATCAGAACTAGCATATTTCAAGGACCCAAAAAAATCCAGTGATCTGTCACCATTGTCTAATATATATGGCTAATATATATTTTCCTCAAATGCAACTGTACCAGAAATAGCATGCATGCAAGTCTGTCTCTCCTTGCCTTTGTTTGATACTTTGGGGAAATAATTTCATGCTATGCTCCCTATCTTCCAGTGACGCCTTATAAACACTGGAAAGTGGATTTGTAAAGCACATGACAGAAGTTTACTTCTCATTGAGACTATTTTATAAGAGTTTGCGAATTGTTATTGGTTATGCCAAGACTGGTTACTATCTTATTCTGAAGAAGGGCTTCTTAGAGCCAAGATGCACAACTGATTGAGCAAGAGTCATGTTAGTCACCAATAATCTTGCTTGCTGTTGCCTCATAATTCTTCCAAAATATGCAAGTAAATTTTCAACCTAAAAGAAAGAAAAACTGAAACAAAACCATACTGAAAATATTAATTGTAATTTAAACCATATGTTATTTTGCTTTCCATTCCCATTTTTTTCTTCCTGTCCTGCACTTGCTTATATTTTGGAATGTAGTCAATAGCAGCCTTCTCAAATGCACAACTCTAACCTAATAAAAAGTTTGTCTGTCCCCAGTTTAGAATAAGGCCTAGGCAGGCATTACAGAGAGCTGTGTTGGCTCTTTCCATGTGCTACAAAGATGACACATTAATGTCTATGCAATTAACTGGAGGACCCCAGGGACTCAAATACTCAAAGCATCTAATATGTCCAGTCTTAACTGATCTAGATCCAAATTATAGATAGTAAGAAGACCATTGAAGAGAGACCCATTGTGCTTCCTTGGATACCACTGGTGGTAACAATCACACTTACAATATCTTGCTCTGAGCATGGACTTCTCAGAATCCAGGACTGATTGATGAGTGATACCACACAAATTTATCTCACTAATCAGCAACAGCAACTGCAATTCTGCTAGCAAGCACATAAGGAGCTAAGATCACTGAATGTTGCAAAGGCCTTAACATGGATCTAGATGAGCTTGTGCATGTCCTTGAGAGTTAAGCTGATATAGTTGCAAGGTTATACAATTTTCTCAAAAAAAAAGCAATACTTGGGGCTATTAAATGTTACTTTGGCATATTTTTCAACTGATTAAATAAAAAAGTTAGTTCTGTCTGGATGAGCATGAATCCAGCTGATTTGGCACATTACTTTACTTGAAAGCATAATATGCTAATCTATTATCTCTCTTAGTTTTATCCAGCTCAATAATGCTGTCTGGAGTGAAATAGCTGCGTTCCAAATTTAGCATCAAATAAATCTACAAGCAACAAAGGGCAGCTGTAAAGTGTCAAGCTGTTTTTCAGGTCTCAGTTAACGCATGGCAGGGCAGAGTAGATGCCAAGACAACGCTGTTGAAAGAAGCAAAATGGCTGTTTGTCTCCAAGATAAAATTACTGTGATTCAATATTTGGCAATATTTAATTGGTTTTATGATTTTGCTAGAGTGTTCAGTACTGGGGTTTTGGTACTTGTAATTGAACGTGGGAAATATATTGGAAGTAGAGTAAAGAAATGCTGCCATGGAAATGGTCAGATAAGAGACAGCACAACCCTCTGCTGGATAGTGGGTGGACTAAGAGGCTCAAAAAACCTCCTTCCCTCAACAGTCGGCATCTCTTTTTCTTTCCAGTGTTTGGCAAGTATAATCCTCACAGCCATCATCATGTGAAGAAATAGCACCCCAAATTGTTTTTCAATTGACTTCTCCTAAAAGAAAGCTCCAGGTTTCATTAATATTTGCATCTTAAATATTTTTGCATTGTTACTGTTATCTTATGTTTATCCAGTATATTTTCACATATTTGCAAGACCACCACCTGGATTTTGACTACATTTTCAGCACTTATTAGAAATCCCTTTATGCATTTTCTCTAGTCTATCTGGGGTCAAGTACCAATGATAGTTGAATGGATTTTGAAATTGACTGAATTAGCAGCAATGGCAAAATTAACTGCTTTGATTAGAGATAATGGACTAGGTACTTTATAAGAGACTGGAAACTACTTGTTGACTTTCTACATGCTAAATATAATAAATGTTGAGGGTTTGAAGATTAGTGTAAAGTTTAGCTCAACCTGTTCACTGCTTTTTTCTTTCTTTCTTTCTTTCTTCGTGTGTGTGTGTGTGTGTGTGTGTGTGTGTGTGTGTGTGTGTGTAAAAAAGGGGAGGAGAATTTATTGCCTTTTCTTTTCTTTCAGCAGCCAGCCAGGGTGGGTCCTACATGTTAAGTGTTAAGTTTAATTGACCACTTTTCCTTCCTTTTTTGTACGCTATTTTTTCTTTGTTGTTATTGTTAGGGTTGAATGTATGTTTTTGTTTTGTTGTGTTGTGTTTCATTTGTTTGTTTTATTGTTTTGTATTTTATTTTCTATGATAAAACAATAAATTTATTTTAAAATGATAAAACAAAAAACCTCTTCCTTTGTTTCTTGGATGGTAAAGGAGATGCTAGGAAAAAAGAATTGTACTTTCAGACTTGCAAAACTATCAAGTAGCCTAACAATAAAATATAATTAGCTTATCCAGATATAATTCCTGTCTGGATGATTCTGTTTAGCTGACATCAATCAATGACATTAATAACTCTGAAAGTAGAATTCTTCCTGCCTTCCACCTCTTTTAGCATCCAAGAAACTAGAAATTCTTGCTTAGCCCACCACCCAGCTGCAGACTATGCTGTCTCTTATCTGACCATTCCTTGGCAATGCCTCTTCACCTTGTTTTTCAAGATCTTTCCCACATTCCACCACAGACTTGGACTTTGATATTGGGATGCTACCCTTAGCTCTCAACATGGAGATTCTGAATCAAGAATAGGCAGAGGATAATTTGGTATAGTTGAATTGGCAACGATAGCAGCAAAGGATCTCTAGAGTTTTGCACACATGGAAATATATTTTAACTGCATGTGTACAAAGATGGAAGTCTTTGAGCCTAGTGAATGACCAAGAAAGTTGGGGGGAGGGGACAGAATGCCTCATGAAAATGTTGATCTAATGTGTAGCTTATATATAAAAAGTGTAAACTTATAGTAAAACTACTGCAATGTGCTGTATGTGGAGCTGCCCTTGAAGAGTGTCCAGAAGCTTCAGTTGGTACAGAATGCAGTAGAGTGGGCAGTTGTATATGCTTCTAGAACATTGCATGTTATGTTCTGTGAGCTGCATTGGTATCCAGTTTGCTTCTGGGTCCAATTCAAATGCTGGTTGCAAATTTTAAAGCTCTTCAAGGCATGGAACCAGGCTTCTGAGGGAATGCTTCTCCCTGATTATTTCAGTTCGACTCATTAGGTCTGACAGAGAAGGGATGCTGCAGATACCATCAGCGAGGGATCTACATTTGGTGGGTCCCAGGAGACAGGCCTTCTCTGCTGTAGCACATAAGTAAGGAAACATTCTTTCACTCCAAATTAGATTACCTTCATTCTTTATGTCATTTTGGAAGGCCCTCAAGATGTGGTTATGTTGTCAGACCTAAGGCTCCCAGGAAACTGAAGGTTTGCTTAAAGGACTCTATTGTTGAAGTGACCATTTGTGTATGGGTTTGTGTATTTATTTTTTTATACTATTTATTTATGTTTAATGTAGATTTCTATATTTCCACATATTTTGTTTTTATATTTATGTTTTTGTACTTGATTATTGTGATGTGCCCAAAGTTGCTTTTGGTGAGATGGGCATCTATACAAATTTGATTAATAAATAAAAATAAAAAGGAGCATAATCTTCCAAAACCAAATAGGTGCTGCAATGTTGAACAGCATTTCTTAGGTAATCAGACTTTTATCTAAAGACTCAGACTTCATAGAATGTTATAAAAGTTCATAAGTTACCACTTTTTATTTATTTATGAGAGAGGTGTGATGGCTCAGTGGTTAAAGATGCTGAGCTTGACATCTGGAAAGCTGGCAGCCTGGGTTCAAGACCCAAGTGCTGCATAACAGGGTGAGCTCCCATTACTTGCCCCAGCTCCTGCCCACTTAGCAGTTCAAAAGCAGCAAATGCAAGTACATTGATAGGAACCACTTCAGTAGTAAGATAATGCCATTCTGTGACCCTCAGTGTATAGTCATGTGGCCAAATGACCACGGAAGCATCTTTGGACAGTGCTGGTTCCTTTGGCTAAAGAATGGAGATGAACACCATTCCTAGAGTCAGACACAACTGGACAGGGGAAACCTTTACCTTTATTTATTTATCACATCTAAAGCTGTAATGGCCTGAAAAAATAATTTAAAAGTAAAGAGAAAGAAAAGAAATAATGTCCCAGAGATAGATCCAGACAGGTATTGTGGAGTCCATGGGTGATGCAATTATTAAAATCTGCTTTGGATATCTGTTCAGAAATAAAATTATATTGAGTTTCTTCTGGGTAATTATAAGCCAGGTATGAGTAGCAATGAGATGTTGCAGTTTGCTTCAGGGGCAGGTTTCAAAACCTGTCGCTACCGGTTCTGCATGCGCAGAAGCGTCTGTGTGGGTGGCTGCAGCCTCCTGCCACCACTGCTACGGGTTCACCCAATTTGGGGCAAACCGGTAGCAACCCACCACTGGTTTGCTTATAACATTTGGAAGAGGGTTGAGGACTGTTGTAAAGGCAAAATAGCTAGGACACAGCTTTGTATTTTTTTTTCTCTGGATTTGATTTATTTGGCAGGAAAGTTGTGCAATTTATCCTAAACAATTTTTTCTTTAACCTCTATAAATACAGCATTTAGCATAATTAAATAACATTTTTTCCCTTTTTCTGTAATTTCAAGCCAGGTATATTGCTAGTAAATGACAAGGTAGACAGCAATTTTATTTAAAAAAGAAAAGATGTGATTACATCAGACCTGATGATCTGATTTTAGAAGACTAAAATTATTCACCACAAGCTCAACTGAAGTTTATGCATGTACATGTGTAATTGGCAATGTAGGAATCAGCCAGGAATCTTGCAATGGGCTGTGGGGCTTTAGTAACTCTAAGACGGATCATCAGGCAAAAAGTGTACTATATTAAGTTTATTAAGATAAAGAAGGGAATACCTATGCCCTAGAAGGAAGGCATATAAATGCCAATTTATTGTTATTATTTATTCAAGTTGCTCATTTCTGCTCCAAGTATTTTACATTTATGGTATATTCATATTTCTTATGCAATTATTCTACTGTGCCTTCTAATACTCTTAAACAAATTCTCTTCTCCATTCCTAGACTTCTTCAGTCTAAGAAAGCCAGCAAGTCTGCAGACTTGTATCTAGTAGGTAAAAATGTTTCAACAGACGTTATTATCATTTTGCAGTTTGTGATAATTTCTATTTCTACGGCAATTCCTTACATATGTACAGGAATTCACTTTTGCCCAGAAAGAGTGATATTGTCCTGCTATTTTCAAATTTGGGTTCTTCTATATGTTCTATATGTTCTATATCTTAATATGTTGATGTGGATTGAACTTTGTTTGTTACTGCACACTTTCCGTAGCACCTCCCTATTAACTTACTATTACTAGTAAGTTAATAGTAGAAGCAGGAATTCCATATTTATACAAGTGTATCCTAACATCTTCCAATTTATACAGGGTGCCAAATAAATTAATTGTAGGAGAGTCTAAACTGACAAAATCTGCCAGTCATTGATCCAAGGAAGATGATACATTTACAGTTGAGAAATCGAATCTTCCTTCTCTAGCCATTAAAGCTGACTACAGGCAACAAAATAATGCATTAATTTTTGAAAACACGTTTAGGAGTACATAAAATATGTTCTAGGAATATATAAAGATTTATATGTCTATCTGGTATAAGATAAATCAATCTGAGTCAGAATGGATGCTTTTGGAAGCTAACGTGTTATAAATAGCAGTGTTTTCTCAGTGCATTTGATGGTTTCTAGAGGTAATAATTTATCCTGAGCTTAGGGCTATCTAGATATATATCAGATGATTAAGCAGAATTTAAATACATAGTTATTAAAATAGGCTGGGAAGATTTTGTGTAACTTGAGTGTATGGGAATATATATTTTTATACTTTCAAAATGAACATCTTGCTATAGGTAATTTGTATCTTATGTGACCCTAAAAATGGAATGAGGATCTATGTGCAGCCTTTAGGTTGCCCACTCCTACTGCATATTATTTCTGCTCTCTCATTTGTCAAGATGATCATTCAGCCAAGCACAATACACTCCAATTTTAGAACTCCTAAGAGCAGAAATAGAAACAGCTTGTGCTCTATTTAGAATGCTTACTATCAGCAAAATCCTGAGCAGATTTGCCCACTCAGTTATTCCTCCCAGCTATGGCCTTACTGGCTGTGCCTGAAAAGAATGATAGTCCATTCATTCCTATTTCAGATAGGACTGAACCAGCTTCAGAGCAACCTATGGGAGATTCTGTCCCTTAACTGAATCATGTAGTCTCTACACATCTTTAGGGTAAACCATACATCTCAGGTCATAGTACTGCAAAACAGCTCACAATGAAGTATATAAAATGAGACTAAACCATAGGTAGTACAGCAAGTCTATAATATAATACATGTAGTATGAAAAAGCATGCCTCTAGTTATTCTGAACCTTAACTAGGAATGTTCAGTGGTTTGAATTTGAAGGCCAAAAGGTATCACATAGACCTTGTTTGTAACTGTTTTGCCCTGGGATTTCATCTATCAGATGTAGAGATTAGCAGTGCAAATCCTGGAAAAGGTGCAGCTCATTTAAAGATATACACACAGAGATGCCCATTTGTATCCTGGCGTGCTCCAAAGCACTTTTTTTTCTCTTCTCTAATTTAAAAAACTGCACAGCCCTACTCCTTATCATATGAATCACCAGATGTGTTGAATGTTATTATTCTAAAGGCAAAAGAAGAATTAAATAATATAGTCTGCCTTCTTAAGACAAAGTTATATTTTTAGCATTCAAATGTTGGGTTCCAGTTCTAAATAAAAGTCACAACATTTTTTTCTTTTTATAGCATTCTTTTTCCTTTGCAAACCCACAGCAAAATTTATTAAAATGGTTTGAAAGTATTGGCATTTGTCATTTGTATATTTTGAAAATTTACATATTTGTATATGTAAAATATTACACATTTCATGTTTACTATTTTCTCAAAAGCAGAAAGTAATTCTTGATTAAATTCTAAATGTTCTTTTAGTGTTGAATAAGAATAAGTTAGAATAAGAAAATATACTTATTCTCTCTCTCTTATTTTATTTCTCTCTTTTTCATTCTCTATATTATCAGGCCGTTGCTGAAGGACGGAGTAACAGCTCCTAATTATGCACAAACACGTAAATAATTCATGAACCTCTATTACTAAAGAAAATTCAGAACTATCAAAAAACCAAACTGTTTAGAAAATTGCACTAAAATATTCTGAAGTCGTTTGTTGAAAATGTCTGTTTTGATTTAATCAATCTCTTGAAAGACTCAGCATATTAATCAAAACTAAAGGCACTCCAAACCACAAGAGTTCCACAAAAGCAACTGAAACTGAACTACACTCTTCTAAGCTATTGCCAGCCTCAAAAGACTAGAACATACTAGCCAAACAATATTCTCGTCAACTGACCAACAGAAAACATACATTTGCAAAAAAAAAAAAATGCAATTGAAAAATTGAATTGCAAAAATTCAACTTGCTGAATTCCAGTCATGATTTTATAATAATAAAATCTGAAAAACACAATGACAATTGAACACTGGGAGGAGGGAGTTTGAGTAGAGGCCGAGGCTTGGGAAACAAAGTGATGTTTGAAGTCCCATCAGTGGGAAATCACATCACCCTCCAGTCTCAAAAGTTTTAATAGTATAAGAGACAACTTGTGTTCAATGCAACTTGGAATATGCAGCACCTGAATTGGAAATAAACCTCGTCAACTGCCAGCAGAGAGTGGCATTTGATATGGGGGAGGCATAGAGATACCTTTACAGAAATAACCAAGGATATATTCATTAAGAAAGACTTCAAGCAGAGTTGGGAATGCAAGAAATCATCCCAAGTATTCAGGATGAATCGATAGATTTTTTAAAAATCAGAATACCTAATGAGAACTGTTGAGTATTGAATGGCACATTTGAATGGACCAATCAGGAACATGAGCGGGAAATTCAGAGTAACGTCAGTGGCTGAAGCCGTGGACAGCTCCTAGCTATAAAAGGAACTGCCGCGGCTAGGATTCTCCATTGCTATTACGGAGCTAATAAAAGGTGTTTGATTCTACTGTGTATCCTGTCCATTCTTGCGCCCACAACTTAACACTGGCGATGAAAGTGGGATTGTAGGACAAAGAACGAAGCACTAAACCTCCACGACCATGAGTATCGGTCAGGTCATCGGCTACCACTATGCCTTCAATCAGCCCACCCGCACTGTTCAACCCAGCTGGAGAAGACTGGGAATCTTACATGGAAAGATTCCACATGTACATGGAAGGAAATGACCTCTTAAGCCTGTCGGAGCAGAGAAAGAGAGCAATCTTCCTCACGCACTGCGGAGCTGCCGTGTTCAAGATGGCAAAAGCGCTCGCAGCCCTTACCAAACTGAGAACGTTGTCCTGGACGGATCTACAGAGCATTCTCAAGGCACACTACGCTCCCCAAGCATCGTCCCTGGTAAGGAGATATGAATTTTATCGGAGAGACCAGAGGGAAGGCGAATCAATCAGTGAGTTCATCACGACCCTGAGGGAGATAGCTGCAGCCTGCGACTTCTTAAACCTAGAAGAGGCTATGAGGGACCGGTTAGTGATGGGATTAAAAGACCTCACTTTGCAAAGCAGGCTACTGGCCAAACCTCAAATAACATTCAAGGAGGCATTGGAAGAAGCCACAGCATCAGAGGCATCCCAGAAATCCGTGGCAGCCATGAAAAAGGTGAACAAGGGGCCACAAGGAAAAGAGGAATCTGCGATCCACTATGAGGATGTGGAAACAGAATCAGAGGAAGAAGAGGAAGATGAGGTCCATCACCTACAAACAGACTGGAGAGGCAAACCATGAGGAAAAGGGAAGCTAGAATTCCGGTGTGCAGATTGCAAAGGAAATCACCCCAGGGCAGAGTGCAGGTTCCGCGATGCTATATGCCAACGATGCGACCGAAAAGGACATATAACAAGAGCCTGCAGAGCATCTCAACCAGCATCCCAAAGGAGCCGACCAAACCGCCCACCAAGCTCACCGCCCTCTAATCGATCGTTCAAGACCACCGGAAAAAAGCAACCATTTGGAAGAGGTCGCAGAGACGAGGATTCCGGATCAGAGCGAGGCAAGACCCACCAAACGTTAATAGTGGGTCATGCAAGCGCGGAAAAGTCCAACAAGATGGCGGAGACCGTACTCATTGAGGGGAGACCCTGCAAAATGGAGGTCGATTTGGGATCCTGCCTATCCATGGTCTCCTGGACAATGATACAACAACTGGTTCCAGGCATCAAACCAGCTCACTCAAACACCAAAGGCTGACTCTCACAGACTACCAAGGGAATTGAATCCCAGTAGTTGGTACGGGAAGGTTCAACGTTGCCTACGAAACCTTCAATGCAAAGCTACCACTCACCATCATGGACCGAGATAGACCTAGTCTATTAGGTCTGGAATGGTTCGAGCCGTTAGGACTGGTGGTAACAGGCATCGACCACATCAACGACTGCGGCTGGGAAGAAAAACTGATGGCAGAATTTGTGGAAGTGTTCAATGGTGAATTAGGCAAGTACACGGGGTCCCCAATATCATTTAATCTAGACCCCTAAATTGCCCCTGTCCGAATTAAGCCCAGAAGGGTCCTGTTTGCTCTAAGGCCCAAAATAGATGAACAGCTAGACAAGCTAGTTGCCCAGGGAGTTTTAGAGCCTACTGACCATGCAAAGTGGGAGACACCTATCGTCACCCCTGTTAAGCCAGATGGGTCGGTACACATCTGGGGTGACTGTAAAAGTACAATAAACAGGGCACTACAACAGAGTGCATACCCAGTGCCAGTGGTGCAACATCTGCTCCACTCTTTGGGCCGAGGGAAAATATTTGCAAAACTGGACCTGGCACAAGCATACCAGCAGCTGCCGGTTGACGATGCCACAGCTGAGGCCCAGACAATCGTAACACACAGGGGTGTCTTCAAGTGCAAGCGGTTACAATTTGGAGTCAGTGTAGCCCCTGGATTGTTCCAAAGCCTGATGGAACGTCTATTACAAGGGATTGAGGGAGTTGTTCCATACTTCAACGACGTGCTCATCTCGGCAAGGAATTTAGACCAGCTACAGCAGCGCCTAAGAGAAGTGCTATCTAGATTCCAAGAGGTGGGCCTTAAGGTAAAAAAGAACAAATGCAACTTGGCAGAAAGGCAAGTAGAATTCCTGGGCTACTTAACTGACAAATCAGGAATACGACCCACTCCGGGAAAACTGAGGGCAATTAAAGAAGCACCTACCCCCAAAAATAAAACGGAGCTGCAAGCTTTCTTAGGATTACTGAACTTTTATAATATTTTCCTACCGCAGAAAGCTACAACTGCTGAAACTGCTCCACCGGCTACTGGATAAAACAATGGAATGGAAGTGGGGGAAGAAGGAATGAGCGGCATTCGAAGAAATAAAAAAATTACTAACATCAGACAGAGTATTAGTTCAATACAGTGGAGCATTGCCAATCAGGTTGACTTGCAACGCATCACCTTTCGGCATTGGAGTTGTACTGAGCCATTGCATGCCAAACAGAAGAGAAGCCCCCATTGCATTTTATTCCAGAACATTGTCAAAGCCAGAAAGAAACTACAGCCAACTAGATAGGGAGGCCTTGGCTGCAGTAGCCGGAATAAAGAGATTCCACGAGTACTTGTATGGCCGCAGATTCGAACTCATCACTGACCACAAACCACTACTTGGTATCATCGCTGGACACAAACCCACACCTCCAATATTATCACCAAGAATGATTCGCTGGATAGAGTTCTTAACAGCCTACGATTACCAGCTGAAATACAAGCCTGGCAAGACAATTGGCCACGCTGACACACTCAGCAGATGCCCACTCCCGGAAACAGGGGAGGACCTAGCTCCAGCATCAACCACACTGCTAATTGAGACAATGGAAAGTGCTCAAATCTCCGTTGCAGACATCACGAGAGCCACAGCGAAAGACAAAATCCTGGTGCGCATTTTGAATTGGATCTGGAAGGGCTGGCTGGGAGCGAACGTGAGCACGGAATTCCAGCCATTCAATCAAGACAAACTGAGCTATCGGGACTAAGAGGGTGCATATTGTGGGGAGACAGAGTCATAATTCCTGAGGTACTGAGACAGGACATTTTAAACTTGTTACATGAGGGGCACCCAGGAATAGTGAGAATGAAGGCACTGGCTAGGAGCTATGTGTGGTGGCCTGGAATGGATAAGGAGATAGAGGTGTGGGTAGCAACATGCACACCCTGCCAAGAATCACAACCAGCACCCCACACGGCACCCACACATGATTGGGAGAACCCAGGAACTCCCTGGTCGAGAATACATATAGACTTTGCGGGGCCATGCCAGGGCAACATGTTCCTAATCATAGTGGACGCATTCTCCAAATGGCTGGAAGCGTCCCTAATGCCATCAACAACCATGGACGCCATTGTCCGAGTCTTTAGGAGGTTGTTTGCAACACACAAGTTGCCCGACTTGCTAGTATCTGACAATGGGCCCCAGTTTACGGCTAACGCGTTCGAGATGTTCCTGACCAACCAAGGAATCTGGCACGCATTGTCAGCACCAGGAAAGCCATCCACGAACGGGCTTGTTGAAAGAATGGTGAGAACGACTAAGGAGATGTTAGCAAAGCTGGGCCCCGGGGACATGCAGGCCAAGATAGACAAGCTACTCACTATCCAGCACATCACACCGAGCGCATCCACACAGAGTGTTAATGGGACGAAAGTTGTGATCCCCATTAGACAGGCTGCACCCACAGTACAGCACAGAAAAGCCAACGGATTCCACAAGCAGAGTCCGGCAATTCCAGGTGGGGGACAAAGTTTATGCAAAGAACTTCAGCGGCAACCCCCTATGGATACCGGGAGAGATAACCCAAGTCACAGGACCATTGTTGTACAGACTGTTGACTGAGGATGGCCGACAATGAAAGTGACACATTGACCAGATCAGAGGCAGAGTGACCAGGAATGAACTTGGCCCACCAGAAAAAGACATAGAGAGAAACCAGACCCTACCACAGGCACAAACACAAGACAGCACAGGAAAAGACTCAAACCCAAATAGTGGCAGCAGGCACTTACCTGGAGTACAGGAGGAAGAACCGAACATCAGCTACAATCCAGCATATCGTCTGGGGGAGGAAGAAAGTAACATCCAAGAAAACAGTTCTACCCCGGCAAGCGAGTTTGAGAGAGTTCCAGAGGCGGAGCCAGCAGAGCCACGGAACGTGACCTCTCATTCCAAGAACGCCGGGACAACTGATCTGCGCAGGTCAAGTTGCGCATCAAGATGACCTGCCTACTTACGTGACTACGTTGCCTAGAGTCTTCAGGATTGGTTATGCTAACTAGGGAGGAGGGGTGTTGAGTATTGAATGGCAGATTTGAACAGACCAATCAGGAACATGAGTGGGAAATTCAGAGTAACATCAGTGGCTGAAGCCGTGGACAGCTCCTAGCTATAAAAGGACTGCCGCGGCTAGGATTCTCCATTGCTATTATGGAGCTAATAAAAGGTGTTTGATTCTACTGCGTGTCCTGTCCATTCTTGCGACCACGACTTAACAAGAACAACTGAATTTTGGATGAAACAAACAAAAGCTCAATCATGCTGATTTTTTATTTAAGAAAGCATTTCTTTTTTTTTTTTCTTTCAGAAGGGAAGAAGGGAGGAAAGAAGTAAGGAAGGGTAAAAGAGGAAGTAAAGAAGATGAAGATTGAGATCCATGCTGATGTGCCAATAAATGGAGAGCTGCCAGTTACTACCTTCTTTTTGTTTTTAGTATTCTATGTTTTATGAATGAATTTCAAAAAGTTGAAGTTTAATATGCTTGCCCATAATAGTAATATTCAAGATTCTTCCAGTATAATTTATAGCATTAACAATTTCTGGGTAATTATGGAAACTCTATCCATTTTAAGGATTCTAAGTAGCAATCATTTTCCTGTCCTTAATACTGGCCAGTGTTCAACTAAGGGGTAGAGTTTTAGCCCAACATGTCATGTGAAGTAATTCCACATTTAGTGGAGTGTTTTTAATTCCGTAAAAACACTGATTTTGTATAGGACAAAGTGAAGACATTGCAGTTAAGGGTATTTCAGTTATACTGATCATCAGGAGGTTGTTTCATCCTTATTGGGGTCATATTACCAGATTGTGAGGTACAAACTCTCTATTGTTTAGAGAATTGAACTAATTGACTACTACACTTTAGATAATTATGTTGAGTGCATTGGTTTTAGGAGCTATCTAGGTCCTAACACTCAATAGCATTGTGGAGAGGAATATATGGATATTTATATCTAATGATATATAAGTCCACCTTTCTTTAAACTCTTATAGAAAAAAGAGAGAAATGTCATTTAGGTCATGTCTCCAAATACACAGTAAACTTTCCATCACAAAATGAAATTTAAGAGTTATTGTCTTTGAAATATATTTATCAGTATTCAACTAGGGAAAACAATTTATTTACATGTCTGTTTTGTTTTTTTCTTTCTATGCACTCATTTTTGTAGTCTTGTTTCGTTTTTTGTATTTTTTTCTTTTGTGTTGTATTTTAATGTTTTTGAATAAAATAAAAAAAATGGAAAATCACAAAATGAAATTTAAATTAATTTAAATCATATCTGTTAAATATTGCTAATGTGACGGCTTTTCATTAATTTCCTATTTTTGTCCTTCAATCACAAAAGGGAACTGCCTTCAAGAATGGGGGAGGTGGACAAATACAGTTTTAGGATTTCAAATTTTTTTGTTTCATATTTGTCATATAAACATAATACATGAATAATTTTCTATTAGTGGTCATCCTTCTTCAATACTACTAATCATATTTTATCTATATAGTTCTATATTCAGTCTCTAACATTTCATTTGAAAGGATAGGTTATGGGAAAGATCTCTGCATGTAGCTATTACAGTCAGAATTGCATGGACCCAATGTGAGAAACTCAGCTACAAAAACAAACTGTTTTAGTACAAACGCAGCATTCCGACTGTCACAGAACAGGACAATATTCCACTCCTTACCTTTGTGTTTCCTTACCTGATCTTCTTATACATTCTCTATAAATGTTATGCTATCACTGCTAATTTACATGCAAAGTTTGATGTGAAACAAGATTATCATCCATTTGGGTATTTTCTCTTCTATGCATAGACGTTTTGCAGGCTCTCTTTCATTTCAGTGGAAATGTCCATGGGGAATAAGCAAAAACATAGATTGAATACTTTTTGTTCAGATTGTCCTTATGTAGCGGTTAGTAAATGGTCTGAGATTTGGAATGTAGTTGTTACGTTCATTTGTTTGAGAATTTATAAGACCACCCATCATAACCTAATAGTTTTAAGTGGCTAACAATACATTTAAAAATGCAGTACAATACAAACATTAAAAGTACAATACAATAAAGGCAAGGCAATACAGGACACTGAGACTTCAAGCAAAACTTTCCCACAGGGGGTTTAAAACCCTATAAAATTATCCACATAGTAGTGATCATTATCAGTCAAATTCCCAAGATTTTTCTCTAAAACAGAATTTTGTTTGTTATTCTTATTGTCTCAAGAATAAAATATGATATCTTCCTCAAGTCAAATTCAACTCCTTTGTTTTCTTGGCAATAGTACATATGTATCAGGCCCACCTGATAAACCAGACTAGATAAATCAAAGCTATAGGGAGAGAAAAATATTTTTATTGAGATTGGCTATAGAATAGAATTTTGAAAGTTTGAATCTGTTATACCATCTCATTCTTCTTATACTTTTCCTGAGTCACTTTCAAAGGTTATCTCATTGCTCTGGACTAAAAAATGTTTCGGCATTCTTGCTTACATAATGGTACCTGCAAATTTCCATCAATGTTATCTTTTCCAGTATCTTCCCAAGTATTGACTTAGGCTTTGGTCTGTAGTTTCCTGGGTTTGTTTATTTATTTATTTTATTTGAAGATGGGAACCATATCAGCTCTTTTCCAGCCATCTGATAGTTCCCTGGTGCTCCAGAATTTTTGAAAGATGTGGTACAGTGGTTCTGAGATGACATCTGCCAGCTTCTTTAGAACTCTGGGATGTAATCCGTCAGGTCCTGGTGATTTATATTTATCAAGATCAGACAGGTGTTCTCTTACCATTTTCTTGCTTATTTTAATTTTTATTTCTAGTCTGTCTTTTACAGTTATGTTTTAGTAGGTTGGGCTATAGTTTCTTTTTGCATTAAGACTGATGGAAAAAATGAGTTAAGCAGCTCTGCTTTCTCTCTGCTGCCTGTTACTTCCTTGCTGTCTTCTCTCTCTCTTTTCATAGATTATCTTGACCATTTTATATAATCCCAATGGCTCCCTTCAAATAACACAATGAATCATAAGCTAGTCAACCATACAAGTTGATAAAAATATATTTGCTTAGTTGTAAGCAAGGAATGCTCATATTATGCAACAGACAATATTATAAATTTGATCCCTGATGCAGAACCTAGCAGGTCTTTTCCTCTTTTTGATGTCTGTACTCATAGGAGTTTGCTCAATTTTCTCTTCATAAAAAGAGGCTGCCAATATAAATAAAATGTACCAATTTGGTTACATTAAAAAAGGAGTTGCTTGTATGTGAGAGGACATGTACCTGGCCCAACCTACCTGGCCCTGTGTATTCTTCATAGCAGGAAACGTTGTTGGATGCATATATTCAGACAGGATTTCTATTCCTTCTTCTAAGTTAACAATGAATGGTAGCATTTTGAATGTTTCTTTCTGTGTTCCTTTATGTTAAGGAATAAGTATTCCTGAAGGTACAGTATGTAGAATCAGTCATCTTGGTTTCTGATACTTTTGTCTCTATTCTTTAGTCCAACAGATTGATAGCTATGATTTTGAAATTAATTGCCCTGGTGACTTTATGGCTCTGTAGCCAAAGTTAATGCATAGCATTGCTTTAGAAAAGACAAATAAGTTGTCTTCCCATCATCACCGCTATTCTTCCCCTCCCCCCAAATAAATTTGACTTATAAAGTTTTGAGTATAGAAGCAGAGATAGGTAAGAAAAAGAAAATTACTAATAAAGCCCAGCTGTTTCCCTTTTAATTTTAAACTGCTAGCTGACAGATGTTTCCTAATGCTTTTTAAAAAGATCTACAGAAAATTGTATATATATAAAAGGGCTTGTTTTGAAACTTTTCAGTTAAATGCTTTGGCAGTACATAAAGATGAGCATCCTCTTTTACTGGTAGGAAATTGATGGGTGTTCTCTTTCTAAAAAGTTCATTGGCAAAAGTTAAATCAAATCTGGCATTAATTTGTTAACATTTCATTATTATGGTAGGGGATTTTTTTCCCTTCTTCTTTTACAAGCTCCAGCAAGAGCTTATGTTGACATCAATTACTATATTGTACAATGAACTCACAGAATGGTTTTGGGGAGGATAGCAGGAAAATATTGTCATACTTTCCAGTAACAATTAGAAAAGATGACCACACAGACCGTAAAGAGCAATGATTTTGCGTGGGCTGTGCAACCCACATATTGCATTGTTACTGCAGTTTCCAAGCAGTATTTCCAAAGACTAGCATCACAACTTAAATGAATAAAACTATGACTGGTTTACTACTGACATTTGACTTCTGATGTTTCCAACAGAATTGGGTTTGTTAGTTCTATCGTCACATGGGAAAATATCCTTTCAGTTAGGTTCATTTGAATCCAATTTTTGTTTTGCCTCATATGTTTCTATACTATATTTGAAACCAAAAGATTCTGAGCAAACTTAATAAGATTAGCTGATCAGGCATATTAACTGTTCATGTATAAGAAAGCTTAGTTTGCAGTCAAGTATGCTTAGGAATGAAATTAGCTAAAAAGCAGTTATAAACATTTTTTTAGTTCATAAGAATGTAAATATAGTTCTAATATTATTATTAATGCCAGATGGTCTTGGAATTAAAAATCAGTTGAATGACTAGTAGACGTTTTTATCTGTTAATCTAGATATTAGAAGATAATTTACATTTATGTTATTGTTGGTTTGTTCACCTATTTAAAAATATAGTAGCTTGGCCCTTGGCTTCATTCATTTTATTCCCATAAAAAGAATGTTGTGACAAGGTCTGGCTGAGATAAAGTGACCAGTTCAAAGACATTTATTGAGCTCCAAGAATGAGTGGGGACTTGAATCCGGGTTCGTTAATCATGGTGCAGATCATGCTGGGTTCCAGATGCAGGAAGTCAAAATCCAAGCAATAGTCATGCCAATCCACTTACTGTACACTTACTGTAAGGATCTAACAAATATGTCTGCCAATAAGAACCCATGAAGCACCATCCCTCATAGGGATATAAGGTAAGATGAAGCAACATAGCTTCAATCCTGGCCAGACCATCTCACATGGCACACGGAACAGCTTGGAGCTTTGAAAGAGCCATTGCTATTAGCACAAAGATTATTGAAGGAAAGCTCTGGTGTTTGGAATGCATGCATAGCCCAATTCAGCACTAACATCTGAAAGAATGTTATGATCAGTGGTGGATTCAAATAATTTAACAACTAGTTCTCTGCCCTAAAGACCGGCTGGGTGGGCGTGGCCAGGGTGGCCATGGCGAGGGGGTGTGACAGGCAGCACTCAGCCTCCTGCACCCCCTTGGGAGCCATGCCGCAACCCCCACACCCCTAGTAGGCCTCCCTGCAGCCTCCTGGGAGCAAAAATGGGCCACGGGGGTCCATACCACCCCACACACCCTGTTTTGGATCTAGTAGGCTTCTCTGCAG